TTTATATTACTTTCAATGTTTACATAGCATCAGGGATAAGATGCAAAGTAGGAAAATACTATTATATTTGAAGGAAAATACTGTTACATTAAATACTGTTACATTTGTAACAGTACCATGAAATGGAATAACCTATGGCAGTTGCAAACAACTTTCATAAAAAGACTTTATAACAAACACATTTTCTTTTTACTATTTTAAATTTCTAATCATGGATGCTCAGGATTGTTTTATTTTCTGATTTTAATGCATGGTACTGTAGTTTTACTCAGGCAACAAATTGTCTCACTGTATTTTCTCATCTTTAAGAGATGTTCCTTTAAGCCGTTCTTGGGGGTTTTTTTGTTTGTTTTAGGCTGGTTTATTTGTTTCTTTTTGTGATTTTGTTGTTTCATTGTTTTGCATTTGTTTTTTATAGTTTTTTTGGGATTTTTTTGTTTGCTTTTGATGGTTTGGTTGTTTTGGACGATTTGTTTAGTTTTGTTTTGTTGTTTGTTTTTCTGTTGGATTTTTCTTTTTTTATTTGTTCTTCTTTGTTTTGGATTGGTTTCATTTTTTTTGTGGGGGGATAAGATACACTTCTACTAGTACATTTATGCTATTTTGAAGCTGTTGGCTTGATATGCTTGTAAATATAACAGATACGGGGATTTTTCATTTCTTCTTGCATCTTGCGCTGTTCTTACTTTTTACTTTCTATTTACTTAATGCATACACTTTTAACATATATATATAATAGTATAGTAAATAACATATATACAACATATATAAGTAATAGTAAAATAGGTCCTCTAGGTAGCGAAAAGAGCATGCACACCTAGATGTTTTGGAGATGTAGCATTGTCATGTGCCCTGTTGCTTCCTCCAGGCAAAATGTCCGTATAGGCATTTCCTTCTACTCTGGTGCTGCCTTTATCCATTGCTTGCAACAGCAATTATGGCAGCAGAAATATGAAGTGTGGGAGTACCTAAGATAAAGGAAAATGTTTCAAATGAAAAAATAATTGTGACAAATTCACTGGCAGAACTTTCATATAGGTCCCTGCTTAGGTGTCTCATAACTTTAAGCTTTTTCTTATTTTCTATTTTCACAGTCTATTTATCTAATATGAAGTAATCATTCTGAATTGCTTATAAGGGAATTTTGTCTCATACCTTTCAGAAAGCAAATAAGATCATTCTTCTGTAAGAAGAATGTAACTGATCATCCAGAAATAAATATAATATGTTTGGAAGCAATTTTCATGTTTCTAGCTTTTCTAAATGAAAATTAATTCATTTCTTCTCTTAATCTGTTCATATTAAGCATATGTAAATTGTGATGGTTGAAATACTGGAATTTTTTAATTGCAAAGCAAAATTGAATCTGGATAATCATCTTAGAGCTGTTTTTTGCCTCCCTTGGTATATAAATCAATATTGTTTAACTACATATGTCGTATATTGTGGTATATTTTTATATTATTCAAACCTCATAAGTTTCTCCTGTGCAGTACTCATATCTAAATCAGTATAAAACTGTTTTTCACTCTTCAATCTATCATGTGACAAATCTTAAAAATTCTTTTGACAGTACAAAGCCTTATCTACAGACAAATTTTAACCAAATAGAAATGGGTAAATATTAGTTTCCCATAGTCATCAAAATTCCCATATATTCATTAGAAACAATAATTCTAAATGGCAGCTTGCTCCACCTTAAGACAGGAAGTATGACTTGCGTCAGTTTCACTGAAGTGCTTGATAAAATTTTGGAGAAGGTTATTCTGGTAATTATTGAAAAACACCTAAAGCACAACACAGTCAGTGGTCACAGCAAATAGTTCCTCATGAGGGGAAAGTCCTGCTTGACATACTTAATTTCCTTTTACAATAGGATAACCCACCTAGTTGATGAAGTGGTCTTTTTGGATTTCAGTAAAGTTTTTAACAGTGTGTCTCACAGGATCCTTCTGGACAAAATGTCCACCCCACAGTTGGATAAACACATCATGTGATGTCTGAGCAACTGGCTCATGTGTCAAGCACAAAGGGTGACAGTGACTGGGGTGGCACCAGACTGGGGACCTGTCATTAGTGGGGTTCCACAGGCCTCTATTCTCAGCCCAGTTCTCTCCCACATCTTCAGAAATGACTGGGATGAAGGACTGAAAGGAATACTGAGTAGGTTTGCAGGTGGTACAAAACTAGGAGGAGCTGTTGACTGCCTTGAAGGCAGGGAAGCCCTTCAGAAAGAGCTCAGTAAATTAGAGTATTGGACAAAAATCACCCATAGGAAGTTCAACTTGTCATAGGAAGGCCAAGTGTTGAATTCTACACCTGGAATGGTGCACTCCTGATTGTGTGTATAGACGAGAAACTGGAATCAGACCTGTGGAAATGGATCTGGGGAACCTGGTCAGTGGCAAGCTGAATATGAGCCATCAGTGCCCTGGCAGCCAGCAGGTCCAGCCCTCTCCTGAGGGGTATCAGGCCCAGCATGGCCAGCCAGGCAAGGGAGGGGATTGTCCTGCTCTGCTCTGCACTGGGGCAGCCTCACCTGCAGTGCTGGGGGCAGTTCTGGTCACTGCATAAAAAAAGAACATTAAACTATTAGCTCTTCTCTGTGGTGACAGTGACAGGACCTGAGGGAATGGCCTGAAGTTGTGCCAGGGGAGGTTTAGGTTGGATATCAGGAGAAGGTTCCTCACCCAGAGGATGGTTGGGCACTGGAACAGGCTCCCCAGGGAAGTGGTCACAGCACCAAGCCTCGGGCACATGATGTGACTTTTGGGGCTGTCTTCTGCAGAGCCAGGAACTGAACTCAATGATCCTTGTGGGCTCTTTCCAACTCAGGAAATGTTATGACAGAAAAGTGCCATTTTCTGTCCACTGACTGTGAAAAAGAGCAATGATTAGACTGGGTGCTTACTGCTTATGTGTTAAAATTTAGTTTTTATGAGTCAGATTGAAGGAATTTATGTTAGTCCTCTTAACTCTTAAGGTCTTTCCAAAAGATTTTATGTGTTAGCAGAGAATAACAATTATCATGGAAACAAAGATAACAAGATTTTGTTTAATACTGTGTAATATATCTTCACAATGTATCTCCAATAAAGGAATGTTTCTTGTCACATTTCCTATATGCTTAGCCAGAAGCATAAAACTTTCATTTATGGCTTATATCCAATTACTTTTTTTTTCTAACTTATTTTTATTATTAAAGAGGTGAACATTCATATTTGTTTTTAAATTGTTGTGTGAAAGAATTAGTAAGTCTAACGAAATGTATTAGTTGGAGTTGAACCAAATGTATTATTTAAATAATACATTACCTTATATTTTCATGGAATATTCTATCAGGTTTCCTCCTCCATATGAAATAATAATTGCATTAAAAGTCTTGCGGTTATTTTTCTTGCCAGGAACAGCTCTCTTTTTGAGCATATTTTTTTGCTTAATTTTGGCATTGTTAATCTTGATTTAATAAATAAATTTTTCACATTAACCACTGATATAATCTAGGAATACTAGAAGGTACATCAAGAGAAGATGGAAATGTATACTGTTTTATATGCAGAATATTGCTTGAAATTCTTATGATTGTTGAAACAATGGACAACCAAGGCATGAGACCTAGCTATCAGGGCTTTAAGAAAGGCAGATCCAACCTGAGCCCCTTTTGGGTGACCTCCCTAGTGGATGAGAGAAAGGTGGTGGATTTTGTCTGCCTGTAGGCTTTTCTTTGGATTACAAACAAATGCAACATAGCACAATGTGTACATAGTGGACATAGTACAATTATGTACAATGTACAATTATGTACATAGTATAATTTAGTGGTGTAAATTCCTCTCTACAGTTCATTCAGAAATACGCTTTTCCAATTCCAACACAGAAATTAAGTGTCATGGCTTACTTTTTTAATACTGAGAAAGTTTAAACAATTGTCTTAGCATGGGTGATACTTTTTTACAAGGCTAAAATAGATCACGATAAATTTCTTGATGATCACGTAGCAATAAACTTAAGTGAATGGAGAATGTAGTTTTTTATGTGTTTCTTCCAAAAAGGCAGCATAATAAGGCTTATGCTGAAAGCTTAAATCTGACCCAAATGTTGTTCCTATCCACAAAACAGAAGAAAAATTAACTGCATTACATGCAATGGCCGATGTTGTCTGAGACCTTACTGAGAGGTTACCAAGGAATATCTCCAAAAGTTAGTATAAAGATAAAATAAATAATTTTTTGGAAAATCACTGACTGTCTATGCTTTTGTGTCAAGTTGTTTGCAGAAACCTTTGTATCAAATTACAAAAGGGTACAATATCCAAATACATATGTACATATATATGCAGCTACTCAACAATACTGAACTCTAAAACTTCTTCCCTTGTTCTTTTATATGAAACTAAGTGCATTTTCATACTTTATCTTAAAAAATTACAGTTTCATAAGTAACTTTTCAGAGAATTCTGAGAGATGCATTTGTAATTTTCATGACAATGACTAGACATTGTGTGGAATCACACTTTAATGTTAGTAATTCATGCAAGGAAATTAGTGCATTTGACTTTCTGTGAATCAGCCTGGTCCATCGTTTTTTGAATTGGCAGCTCGTATGTTCTACCTTGTTATTGTATAATTCAACAGATAAGAATGCTTTAATATACTTCCACTACTAGCTCTACAATGTTTATATAGATAATACAGTTTAAAAAAAAGGAAAAATATTTCTTTCTTCCATAATGAATATTATCACCAGTTGGTGATGACTGGCATCTTGGTATCTTAGTGGGTGATACTTCTAAAGTATCGTGACTTGCTCCTAGGTATTGGAAAATGCAGAAGTTTCTGCACTTGTGCTCTTTCTGGGTATCTTTCAAAAATAAAGGAAGACTAACTGAAATAATTATTGCCTCATTATTTGACTTTCAATAGGAAAATAATCCAAGAATGGAAGAGGTTAAAATACATGTGGGAATGTTTTGAAGTAACCAAGTTATTTAATTTTAATAGGTCATAAAGCTTGCTTTTGAAGAGTTTGAACTGGAAAGAGGCTATGATACTCTTACTGTTGGAGATGCTGGGAAAGTTGGTGATACAAGAACAGTGTTGTACGTGTAAGTACACAACTTCAAAAACTTTCCTTGAAATTTGCTGTTGTGTTGTTTCTTCCAGGCCAGGATGTATCGACTAAAATTTGCAATTTTAATGTACAGAATTAGATAATTAATGTAAGCTTAAAATTCAAGTATTGTAAAAGAAGATTGTTCATTACAAAGTTAACTCTAAATCCTTAGTAACATCTTTATAGGCTTTAACATAAGGGACTAAAAACTGCAAATTAAATTAAAAACAAAACAAAACAAAAATCCCTTCTTTTAAAAAGAACTACCTGTATAACTGTAATTGTATTCACAAGCAATAAGGGATAAAAAGCTTGGATTTCAGTGAACAGAAAATACAACTTGTGTAAAAAAATAAGGTATTGATTGATTTCAGACTTTGAATAATCAAAATTGGATTTGTGTATAAAAATTTATTCATAGAACATAGTCCATTTTTCAGTGAATTTAAACATTCTTTATGGAATATTATAATGTCAAATATTGACAGTGTTGGAATTTAGATAAATTTGAAGGAAAATTCCAGACTAGACAGCTACTCTTAATATACAGTTCTACAATACTGTCTAGACTAATGGAAATAATAGAACTCTGTACATCAATACTGGTCACCAAATACAAAACAAAATTACAGATTTGATAAATTATCAATGACTAAATAAGAGAAACTAGCAGCATTTATGTCATAATCACATTACTTGACATAGCATAAAAATGTGTTGGATAAAGACAGTATTGAACGCATTCAATAAAAAGAATCCATTATAATTTTATATTTTAAGGAGGTTTTAATCCATATAAATAATTGCCATGTTTCTTTATGGCAAATGAATACTCTTAACATCCACACATTTTTATTTTAAACAAAGTAGAATATTTTCTCAGGGACAAATCTTAGGAAAATAATTTCATTATATGTATTGGTTTATGAAAATATAAATTTATTAATCGATAAATTGAACCGTCATATCAAAGTTCATAGAAAACCCTTGGCTTAAATTGGCTTAAAGCTATGATGGAAAATTATTGAATTATTTTCCCAATGCTTGTGATCCCTGGGTTGCAATACAAAGTAGTTGTTACTGAGTAAATTGAATTCTATATTCTGAGTACCTGAAAAAGAAAAAACAAAAATGAAAGCAGACAAAAAACCCCTTGTTTTGAGAGCTTACATGTTATACTAGCAAGAAAAACATGAAATGGAAATGGATTTCCTCACCTAAGTTATTTTTTCTTCTATTTTGTGGACCAATTGTATAATGCAACAGTCCTTCTGATGATGTTGATTTAACTACTTGTAACTATGACAAAAGGGTTTTTTTTCTTTTTGAACTGGGATACATTTTACTCATAGGGATTGCAAAACTCCTTAAGAGTCATGCCATTAAGTAGCAAATATGCTATCCCAAACTGTTAATTCTGTTTTCTACACTGTGCATACTTCATATGCCAAAATTTGCCAAAATTTGCCAAAATTATGTCAAAATTAAAATTCTGTGACAATTTTCAATTTTTACCTTTCCATTTGAAGCCATTTAGCCTGTGACTACCTAGTCCACATCTGTTTTCCATGACTGAGCAAAAAAAAAATCTAAAATATTATTTGCTCATATCAATTGCTACTTAATAACCAACACTCTAATAATAACATCACCTCCAATAACTTCTTTTCAGTTTAATAACATTTTAAACATCATGTAGCAGATATCCACTTCTAAATCCATCAGTGTCATTTCTACAACTAGTACAATGGTCTCACTAGAGACACACTTCTAACCATTTCTTCAGTATATTTTTTTCCACTAAAACAGCAACTGTTTTATTCCTATTACTCCACAGGCCATCACTTAGGATTATGGTACAGTGCTGGTCCTACCATCTTTACTGTAAATTGTGTGTTTGATAAAAGCAAAATCTATGCATATAAATTTATCTGCCTTTTGGGATGCAAAATTAGCATTACTCTGAAAATCATTTGAGAAATGAAATTATTAATAACTAAAATACACTGGAATACAGGAGAGCTCAAAGACAAAACTATAATATCATGATAATTAATAATGAATAAAAATTTCTATTGAGTCGGTGTCCTTGAAGGTATTAAACACTGGATTGTATCATCTATTATGAAATATGTTATATTTAAACAGCATCACAGATATGTGCCATTTCACTTGCCTTTCAGAAGGGTCTTCTAAATGCAAAGTAACATCTCTCATAAACTTTCTCATGATAATATACTCTACAAGTGGACCTAGTCCACTTGTAGAGTATATTATCATGAGAAAGTTCATAACTAAATGTCAGAGTGATTTTCTTATCAAAATTTTTTATTAGTTGGTTGTAATAACATCTATTACATTTAATGAGGTTTGAGCAGCACCTTGCAGTTTCTTATTCATCCCAGGAGAATGAAGGATCTTACAGCAAAGACTTTTCTGGCTAGACTTAATTTCTAAATTTCTCAGGGTATCTTAAAGAAATAATACAGCTTTTCTTACACTCTTCAAGCTTCTGTTGGCAGACAAAATGAAGAAATTTCTGCAGAAATTCTGCAGAGCATCACTATAGAATCTCATACATTTGATTCTACTGTAGTTTTTATGGTTTAGTTTGAACAAAATATGCTAAAATAAATTAAAAATAAAATAAATCTTTCTAAGTTAAAATCTAATTGTAAGTGTTTGAGTCTTTCAGCTTGGCAGAAAATTGTCATGTGTGAACATATAAGCCTCAGCCCCATGCAAAATTTTCCAGTTCTCAGGTGCTAAACTCCACAAGGTAGTAGCTACCTCTTTATTGGGCGCTTTATTGTAAATTTAAACATAGTAAACAAACATTGTATTGTACACAAGCTCAGACTTTTTAATGAGCTTGGTCGTGCCAGGATGTTTATAAGCCAGTCATCTTGTGAGCATTGGAGCTGTCTAAAGGCAGGTCAGTAAATAGGGGACCTTTAAATACTTCATGGAAAGAGGAGATTGAGGGAGTTGAGAACCACGATATATAAATGGTCTGTCCTAGCACAAGCTTTCCACGCTGTCCCAACAGTCATCCATTGGCAATTGTCTGTGTAACCTCAAAGCTGTAGCACTACAGCTCAAGAGGAATATGAAGGAATCTTGATGTTTTAAAAGGAGAAAAAAATAAGCGCAGACTTCCCATCTTTATTTTTTTTACAAAATTGGGAAAATGATTAGAAAAGGTAGTTTAAGTTCATGAAAGATAGCACTGTAATCATATGAAATCAAATATACATTGATGAAGGTCAAATTATTTCAAATCAATTTTATACAGTTATTTGAGAGTCTAGTTGGCATATAAATTAAGGATCTGTTGAGTTTTAATTTATGAAAGTATTTAATTTTAATATTTATAGTAAACTTTTCTAAAAATCTAATCACCAATATCTTAATTAATTAAAGTGGGATATTCACATCAATTTCATGATTTTTAACAATTAAACAATTAACAATTAAACATCTGTAATCTTTACTTGTTGGAAAATTTAGTAGTCTTTATGGATTATGTAGGCTGAGATGTTTAGCTCTGGAAAATAGTAATACAACTTAATAGTAATCTAAATATGCTTTGGTTATAAAGTTTTGAAAGCACTTATTTTTTATATTTAACAGACTTTTTCTACAACTAGTGGTTACCCTTTCAGAATAACTCATTATTAATCATCATATGTGAGCTGAAGTTTATCAGTCAGAATGTGTCCTACAATGTCCTGTTTTCTGTTTTTAAATTCTTGTGTATTAAACAAACACAGTGCTTTAGAAGGTCTGCTTTGCCTCCAAATGCTATGATTTATGTTTTTCTTGGAGCACTTACATTAAAGCTTCATTTTTTTTTAATGATTCCCTTAAAACATGAATCTTTTAACTCCTTCCTGTACAGAAAATGTTAGTTGTTTTTCCTCCAATACAAAGAAGAAACTTTACATTAGTGATTCAAACCCAATTGTTTATGTCAGCTGTTTCAGTACATAGTAAAAACATTCATGGTAGTAAAATGCCTTATAGAAAACCTTTATCCCTTTCTTCTATTCATACAAAGTATGGAAAATTACTGGGGGCTTCAAAAAGGACCTACCCTTTCACAACTGCTAAAAACCAATATTTCTGTTCCTGGAGACCATTCTCTGTAGCTTGGATCCCGCTTCTTGTGGATAACTAAGCAGAGGGACAAATTTTGCAAACAACTGCTTTCTCTAGAGTTGCCTTTTCTGACCTGTGATCTGTTCAGAGTAGTGAGAAGCTCAGTTTAAATTTGCCTCAACATTTTTAATTTCCCTCATGTGGAGATGAGCCAAGGTAGAACGAGGCTCTCTGCCTTAATGGCTGGCCTGAAAGTCTCTGTTCTTGGCGTTGCAGATGGTCTCAGAGTAACAGCAGGTGTTGGTAGACAGACCTGCATTCCCTAAACATTTGATCTACCCTATCTGCCATCCTGATAGTTATCTGCCTTGTAGTTCTATGTATGAAGATATTCTCTCCAAGGAGTAAAACCAGAAAAAAGAAACCAACAGAACCTCAGCCAAACCAGCAAACAAAAGAAAAAAATGTCAAACAAAACCAAAACAAGCAATCAAACAAAAACATACCATAAGAACCCACCAGACACGAAATTATCACCATCACAAAAAAAATTCTGCATTTTATTGATTTCTGCTTTTAGCATATTTTTTCATTTGGGAAGGGGCCCTTCCCTTCCCTTCCCTTCCCT